GCACTCAATTGTTGTCCTAAACTCCTCACACTGTGGGGGGGCAGTTCGAGTTATGAGATCGTAGACGGACTTACAGTCAGTTACGGCTGCCGCTGTGGGTTCCTTCTGTAGCAAGTTCTCCGGCTCTTGCCACTTGACCTCGGCATCTTTGAGCCATGCCCAAAGAATACGGATCCAGGAAAGGCGATCTACTGAGTTGCTGAGTGCAAAAGCTTCAGCACCAAGAGTACTGCGCACAACACGAGGAATCCGTTTAGATGACCAAGCCATTGGACACACCACCGCTGTCTGATTCTCAAGGATACTGCTGTGTGTAGCAAAGATCATCGATCCCTGATGAGCACTCAACTTGGTACTGGATGCAAAGCTGGCATCGGAGAAAGCACAGAATGTGACTTCATTTTCTGCAATTGGGACAATCATGATGGAAACCGGATTTGTTTTTGCTTCATAGAGTACTCTATTAGCTTCCAACAGATGAGTCACCTGTGCTCTGTTAACTGCTGACTGGAGTTCTCCGACCTTAGCGCTAATGTCTGCACGGGTGTGAACAGCCGCGTATTGAAGACTCCCGATCAACTGTCTGAATCGGGAGCGCTCCGTCTCCGTCAATGGGGATTCAGGGTTTTTCCTACGTTCCCGGGAAACATTTATGGGCTCGATTCCCTCAACATAATCCCGTTGATCCATCTCAATACTAGAATCATCCCATTGATGAAGACGAATGCCCGTGAACGTGAAACTGCCTTCCTCAAAGGACCCGAAACTGAAAAGTGCTCGGAGTTGTTCAAGAACCTCATGAAACCTACGATCCCCACCACAGATCCCATCATCAACATGTATCCCCAACACTCCATGACATCGTAAACGGCCCTTTGAGTCTCGCTCTGTTAACGAAAACAGACATGGGTCCAGCGGACATTGTTGAAAACCCAAGGTAAGTAGGGACTTTCGCAGCTCCTGGTACCAAAGGTAAGGTGCGTCTACCCTACCATAAGCCCCGCCTACGAGTTCACACTGATCCTGGGGACCCACACTTAAAGCCTCTTGGAGTTCCGGGGGAGCTTGGATTCCCAGAAGTCTGCCATCACCCTTTCCATGGAGAAAGGCGGTGCTAATGTCAAAAGAGCACAGCTTCCAACGATTGCTACAGATCTTCTGCAACAACAATTGGCGGCCATCTTTGGAAAGGGTTGGTGCATCATTAGCTACATGATCAATATCAGGATCCTCGAATCCTAGAACTACCAATCGTGCTTTAGCTTTACGGCCGTCAGCTGTTTCTGCATTGCTCGCGTCAGCCG